TCAATCAGCTGACTTTGATAGCTGCTTGAGATAAGGTAGAAAATCAGGCCTTTGAGGAATAAGTAGGAATAAGTAGAAATTCACAAGTCAGAAAAAGGAAGGGAATAGCATGAGTGTAGCACAGAAGTTTGAAAGGTACTGGCTATCAAGGTAAGGCTGGGTATCTTCTATGGTTAGAGTATAAGATTCATCTGGAAAAAATGGCAAAATATGAAGCTAGCAAGTTGGGGCTAGCTCTTTGAGGGCCTGTGTACCACGCTAAATAGTTTGGAGTTTAGTCTATAATCAGTAGCCATTCAAGGTAGTTAATCAAGGAATTTTCAGATCATTCACTCCTTTAGTAGGAGAATAGATTGCATGGAAGAGAAAATTAAGATGACAGACTACTTAGGAAGTTAGTGAAATACTTCAGGCAAGAAATGATGCAGAACTTATGTAAGGCAGTTGCCTTGAAAATAAAAAGGGCAGATGTAAGATCTAATTGGTAGATAGACTATAAAAGATCTTCATAGAATATTTAGCAATCCTCCACATGGTTTTGAATTCTTAAAAATCTCAACCTTGGTTAAAAGGCCTAAACAGAAGCTGACTCTAATTTATAGAATGGTGGCATGAGGAGCTCTGCAGACCCTCCCCCAGCAAAACAACCGTAAATGCTGAAAATTATTTTTAAAAAACCAACCATTTAAAGTTATTAGAAATTGTCTGAAGGACATACATCAAGTAGAGAAACATTTATTCCAGAAATCTTCTAAATCTTGGTAAGAACAGTAAAGGATTGTGGCATGTGAGTCTCAACCTGCTCCCTCTTCCACCCCAACTCAGAGTGACAGAAGCACTGTTCAAGGTGGGTACAGTCAAGAGCACAACTCTCCCCACTCCCCAGCTTCCAGTTTAGGGATACTGTATCTCCCCAAGAGAGGTAGGTTGCCATCATTTCTCATTCACCCAGCTCCATACTGCAGAAGCTTTAGTCCAGGCAAGCACAGCTGACAGTCCTGGAGCTCCCTTCTTCCTCATTCCCGGCCCCATTTGTGGAGTCGAAGCTTTACCCCAGGCAGGGAAGGGTTAGAATGCTAAGCCCCAATTGTCCTTGACCCACCTCTCCTGTAGGGTGGAGGTTCCACACTGGGAGGGGCAAGCTAAGAAGATCAGAGGCTACCACCTCTGCCCAGCACTCAGTTTGTAAGGCAGGGTTGTCACACAAAAAGAAGTAGGCCACTATTCTCAACATCAGCTCTGGAGTGCTGGCACAGAAATTTTGCTGGGGCGGGACAGGCTATAAGAATACAAAGGTCCATAGCTCTTCCCAAGAAAATTGACCATTTGAAACAGAGTATGGGAAAGTTCAAGACTAAGGGTATTCTCAAAATACAATGGAGATTTTGGTTCTAAGCAATTAAGAGGAGGCTAGTAGCTTAATAAGAGCAAGAAGCTAAGCCATAGACTAGCTAGTTTTAATAGTGAGAATCAAGCAAAGAGATAGCTGAAAAGAACCTTCCTAGTGTTGGAACAAGTCTCAAAGACTTGCCACAAAGACCACATGAAAAGGGGACTGAATTTAATTGGATGAGCCTATGGAGCAGTTTATGTCTCAGGGCATTACATAAAATAGTAGAGCAACCAGATGGAAATTCGTGCAGCAAGCATCTGAGTATGATGCCAACAGAGGTAGACACTTAACAGATCAGGCAAGAGGTAGTTGATGAGGCCTCTGCTAAAACACTATCTTCCCAGGGTGACAGTGTACCTGCCCAAGGCTACACTCTCTGAGGAACATCAGAGGCTGCATACTGAGGGGAAAATAGACTTCACTGAAATAGTCCAGCCAAGTCACTAAATAAATAAACAGAAACAAGCCCAGGAGAGGAGAGTATCAATATCTAGAGTTATTACAACATACTGTCTAAAATATCCAGTTTTCAACAGAAATTTGTGAGGCATGTAAAGAAACAGGAAGGTATGATCCATACACAAGAAAAAAAGCAGGTAACAGAAACTGCCTTTGAAAGGGCCCATATATTCGACTTAGGAGACAAAGACTTCAAAATAGTTACTATAAAATGTCCAAAAATCTAAAGGAAACCATGCTTAAAGAAATAAAGGAAGATATGATGAATGTGCTTCATCGGATAGATAATATCAATAAAAAGATTAAAAAATCAAATGGAAATTCTAGAGCTGAAAGCATAGTAACCAAAATGAAAAAAAAAAACACTAGAGAGGCTTATAGTAGATGTGAGTTGGCAGAAGAAAGAATCAGAATACGTGAAGGTAAATCAATAGAGAATATTCAATCTCAAGGACATAGAGAAAAAATAATAAAGAAAAATGAACAGAACCTTGGAGAAATGTAGAACACCATTTAGCACACCACCACACATGTAATGAGAGCACCAGAACGAAGGCAAGAAGCAGAAAATATACTGTAAGAAATAATGACTGAAAAGATCCCAAATTTGATGAGAAACGTTAATTTATACACCCCAAAATCTCAATAATCTCCCAGGGAGGATAATCACAGAGATCCACATGAAGAAACATTACAGTAAAAATGTTGAAAGCCAAAACAAAGAGAAAATCTTGAAAGTAATACGAGAAAAATGACTTGTCATGCACAAGGGAACCTCAATAAGATTATCAGCTGACTTCTCATCAGGAAACAATAGAGGCTTCTGAGCCAACTGGATAATGTATTCAAAGGGCTGGAGAAAAGAACTGTCAACCAAGAAGATAGTATCCAGGGAAACTATCTTTCAGAAATGGAGTGAAATAAAGACATTTCTAGATAAACAAAAATTGAGAGACTTTTTTGCTAGTATACCAACCTACCTTAGAAGAAATACTAAAAGTTCTTCAGACTGGAAGCAGGTGAACCCAGACAGTAATTCAAATCCATGTGAAAAAGCAGACCCCAGGTAAAAGTGATTATTAATACAATATAATTACCTATTTCTTCTTTTTTTTTCCATTGATCTAAAAAAGCAGCTGTACAAAAAAAATGTGTTTATAGTTGTATTGTTGGGCCTATAACAAATAAAAATGTAATATATTTGACAATTATATAACAAAGAAAGTGAGTAGAAGCAAAGCTATATTGAAGTAAAGGAATGATACCAGATGGTAATTCAAATCTGTAGGAACATATAAAAAAAACTAGAAATGATAAATTAGAAGGTTAATATAACAAACTATAATTATATAATTTCTCCTCAGCTTCTTTAAAAGATATAAAATTATATAAATTTAACAACAATTGGAGACTGCAATACCCCACTTTCAATAATGGGGCATAAAATCAACAAGGAAAGAGAAAACTTAAATTGACTAGACCTAACACACATCTATGGAATACTCCCATCCAATAACAGCAGAATACATATTCTTCTCACGGAACAGTCTCCAGGATAGACTATATGGTAGGCCATAAAATAAGCCTCAATAAATTTGAAAGATTTCAGAATCACAGAAAGTATATACTATGACCAAAATGAAATAAAATTAGAAATCAGGAACAGAAAGAAATTTAGGAAACTCACAACTATGTGAGTTCCATGATTTTAAATATCTGTCAATAGATCAATAGATCAAAGATTTAGATCAAAGATTTAGATGCAAAAAAAGAACTTATAAAAATACCAGAAACATTTGTGGGATAAAACTATTTTATAAATGTTTCTGAGAAGAAAACTACACTATAAACAAAGTCAAAATTCTATCAAATTAGGAGAAACACTTGCAACATATATGACAGGCAAAAGGCTAATTTCCTTAATATTTATTAATTTCCTTAATATTTATTTATTAAAATGTCAGCAGAAAAAGTTTAGTGCTGAGCAATTTATATGTATGTGTATGTATGTGTGGGGTTATGTGTGTGTGTATCTATGTATAAATATATATGTGTGTATATGTATGTGTATATATAAAACAGAAAGATCAGCAATTCAGTAGAAATCTGTGAAGGACACAACACAAGTTCATAGGAAAAGAACTTCTTTGCAGAATAACTTGGTGATGATTACAAAAATTTAATATACATGAAATATTCAGAGAGAAGTATACTGATATCTGCAACTTACTCTGAAATGCATCAAAAAATAAGATGGTTAGATAGGTGATGAAAAAAATATGGTAAAATGTTAATGGCAGAGTCCAGATGGTGGGTATACAGGTATCCTCTGTAAAATTCTTTCATTTTTTCTGTTTGAAAATGTTCATAATAAAATATTGGAAAATGATATGCATAAGTCTTTCTACTCAGCAATTCTAAGAATTTTCCCTGCTATACTGGCACATGTATACAATGATATATATACACAGATATTCATTGAAACATTGATTGTGATGAAAGATTAGATACAACCTAAGCATCTTTCAATAGGGAACTGGTTACATGAGTAGCTATTCAGTGGAATGCTGTGTAGCCATTAAAAAAATGATGCAGATATAGTTGAAATTATCTCCAAGTTATGTATGAAAAATGCAAGGTGCATTATAGAGTACTAACCTTTGTGTAATATTTGTGTATGTCTAGATTTGGCAGGGGTGGAGGTGTTGTGGTTCTGGGTAGGAGGAAGACTCACTGTACACCCTTTGATACAGTTTGAATTTTTTCATGGAAGAGTATTACCAAGTGCTGACTTACAAAGGGCATGTTTGTTTTCAGAATTGTTTATGAACCAGAATGAGTGTTATCCAGGACATTTACAGTGGAGTTCATTGGAAAGCTGACATTAAGAAACATTTGACAACCACTTTATATCATGCTTCTAAGAATGTCAGAGGACTTTTTCTGTTCCCAAGCCCTTTTAAAGAAGCTTTTCCCCCCTAGATCTAATTGCTGTGGATATGCCCACTGCTCAGCAAACTGGAAATTCTTGGCCTTTTCTGGCTATGATACAGCTATGTAGCTGGCATATGTAATCATTTCCATTAAACCAACATACCTGTTTTTGTGCCAAATGTGGTTATAACATTTTTTGTTTAAATAGAATAGCTTCCTCCAGGAAAAATGAGAAGCTTAAAAGTTTAGTCTGTATAGTTAACTTGATCTTCACTTTTTCCTCCTCCTTGTTTATAGACTGGAAAAGAAAAGCAAACTTTGTGATTTTTCAGTTCTAAAATGATTTCTTAGTTTGATTGAATCAAGTAGTTTAAACAAAGTCTTTAGATAATGTACACAGTAATAACTGTTGTTTCAAAAGAGGTGTTTTAAAAGTTAATTGCTTAGTAAATTTTACATGTATGAAAAGTTTTAGTGCTCAGGATTTAATAATTTTGTGTAAAATTTTGTGAAATGTATCCTGAAGTTTTCTGCTTTTTTCTATAACTTTTTAAATTACAAAAGTAGCACCTGTTCCTTGTAGAATACTGTAAAATTGCCAAGATGTCCAAAAAAGAAGAAAATAAAGCTACCTTAAACCTTACCACCAAAGATTACTACTAACATCCTCCTGGTATATATTTTTCTAGTTCTGTGTGCACGTGCGCATGCCTGTGTGTGTGTATGTGTGTGTGTGACGGGGGGATTTTTAAACAAAAATGGATTATATTGTACATACTAGGAGGCAGTATAGCATCTTGGTTAGGAGCTCAGTCTCTGAAGTGAAACATAAGTTAATAGTCAATTGAGTCCTGGTTCCACTATTTGTTAGTTAAATGCCTTTAGGTAAATACTTTCCTCTCTAAGCCTCATGAAGAAAATAGAGCTGCTTACCTTTTAGGGTTATTGTTGTAAAAATTAAACGGATAATTCATGCAAAACACTCCATGTGTAAGCTATAACTATCTTTGTATAGCTTACATTTAGAATAATTATCATTTTTACTAAAAAAAATGTAGTTTTAAGTCCTCCTTAAAATCATAATTTTATGTACTTTTTACTTGCTTAGTAATTAGATTTCTTCCAACTCTTCTTTGAAATATTTTTCTTTTTTTCCATGTGCCTAGGTTTGTACATTTAAACACATTATAAATTAGTTACTATAGAACCAGGAGTCTGAGACTATCTATTAAAACCTACAAATAACAGTTGAAATTCTTCCATTTTAAAATATGCTCATATCTCACTTAGTTGGAGACTAGCCTAGGACTGATTTGTGGTCTTGTTTTTATAGTTAAGGAATCAAAGTACCTTCCATTGTTCCTAAGGAGGAATAGGATTACTTGGTAATAGTGAGGTCTTTAGTCACTACTGCTACCTATAAAGCTTATAGTGATAATTGACCAGTTCTATATCTTTATTCCCTTTTTCCTTAGGACTCCATATCATCCACAGCCTAGACGAGGTCAATTTTATACAGAACCTTGTGTTTTATATTGAAGCGGCATATAAAACTGCTGTAAGTACTCATTTTGGAATGGATTTTAAACATACGATTTTTAAAACAAATACTGGGTAAGCCGGTCCTTTCTTAAAGCTGCCCCTCATAGGGAACCAACCTAAAAGGCTTCTGGCAGAAATTGTCTTCAGCCTCTTCCTTTACTAAGATCTGTCATCCTCTGTTTGCGTTTTCCCCAAGGGGGTTACAGAGACAAGAGGGTCAAGATGCTATGCTTTCCTTTCAAACTCTGTGATATCTCATGGTATGTATTTGACAATCTGGGGCTAAATTGTCATCTTATTTTAATGGTTTAAGGTCTTATACGTAAGTAGGATGGCTAGGGAGTATTGTGGGTCAGTTAGCTACATAGAAATAAAATTTAGTCATGTGTTTAATATTATCTGTAGGCATTGATTCAGCACTTACTATACAAAAATGGTTGTTTTTCTTTACAACTACCACATGAGGTAGGTTTATATTAAATCATAATATATTTAACATATTCTCTGTAAAAATTTTTAAGTTAGTTACTGTATAAGAATGCAATTTTTTCTTCATCAGGCTAACATAGTTTTTTGTTGTTCATTGAAGCTTTATTCATAATTTCCAAAATTAGAAATAACTCAAATACCCATCAACAAGTAAATGGATAAACAAATTGCAGTATATCCATAAAATGAAATACTGCTCATCAATAGGAATGAACTATTGATCCATATATCAACATGGATGAATCTCAAAGACATTATGCTTAGTGAAAGAAGCCAATTGATCGATTTGTCTCATTATTGGTTGTGTTTTCCTGCTCCTTTGCATGCCTAGTAATTTTTTATTGGATGCTAGATATCATGAATCTTACCTTATTGCATCCTGGATATTTTTGTATTCCTATCAATACGCTCGAGTTTTGTTCAGGTATCCAATTAAGCTAGTTGGAACCAGTTTGATCCTTTATTGCTTTTAAGATACATTATCTGGGTCCAGAGTCAAGTCTAGTCTAGGGCTAATTACTCCCACTACTTAGACAAGACTCTTCTGAATACTGCACCCAGTGTCCCCTGAATTATGAGGTTTTCTAGCCTGGCTGGTTGGAACAGGAGCTATTTCTGGTCCTGTGTGAGCACTAGGTATTTTTCCCTCTAATTCTTTTGGGTACTTCTTTCCCCAGCCTCAAGTAGTTTCTTCACATACATGCACTGATCATTATTCTGCTGAATACTTGATGATGACCCTCTGCAGATTTCTGGGGTTCTCTGTGTAGCTCTCTCTTCTCCATTAATCTGTCCTGCAAATTATAGGTACCTTGGTGTCTCTGTACTCTCAGCTCCATTTCCTCAACTTGAGGAGTCTGCCAGGCTCTGCTTGGGTTTCCCCTCCCTGCACCGTGGCCTGGAAACTCTTAAAACAGTAAGCTGGGCAATCATAGAGCTCGTCCCATTTGATTCCTCCTCTCATGTATCACTGCACTTCACTGCATGACTTTCATGTTCATTGTGTTGAAAACCATTATGTCATAAATAGTTCTTTAGTTGTTTCAGATGGGAGGGTAAATCTGGAACCTGTTACTCCATATTCTGTCAGAAGCACAAGTCTAACACAGACATTTTTGATGCAAACAGACATTATTTGTTGCCTGATTGCATTGCCTTCTGATACCACAGGTCAGCTGTGGTCCAGTGTAGAAGTTAGGCTTCTTTGGACTCTCCATCGTATCCAATAGTTGTAGCAGGAGAATTAATGATATTTGTGCCTTCTTATACTCTAATCTTTGCTGCACAAACTAGGATGGAACTGGATTTGGGGCAGGTGAGGCGAACCATGGGTTCAACATGGCTCACCTTCCTGAAACTTCACTTTAAGTCAGAGATTTGACATCCAAAGTTATTAGAAGTAGACACAGAAATAAATAAAGATGTTTGTGGGTGTACATATGTCTGTTTCCAAGTTCCATTCAATTAGAGGGCCTAGAAGGAATGACACTCCAGTGACAATGAGCATACCCAGTGCCCAGGCCTCAAATTCCATTATTTTCTAATAAAATAAACCAAGGATTCTTATGGATATGGTTGATTCCAGGGCTGGAGCAGGGAAAATACAAGATGAGATTAGAGCATCTTATAGTGCCAAAAAGTGAAGAAATGCTCAAAAAGGAATGGGGCCTGTCAAAAGGGCAGAGGAACCAACCCGAAAGAATACCTGCTAGGTAAAGCTGGAACAATTCGAGCAACAAAATAGTGATAGTATTTTATTATAAGCCAGAGAAAAACCTAAATATCTATAAGTTCATAGTGATATAAATAACTGAATAAATAAATAATTGGGGAAGAAAGGACAGCTCTTCCTTAGAGAAGAATTATAATTAATGACTATAGAAGTAATGAAGAAGCTAGAAAAATCACCATTAAAACACCACTGTAATAATTGTTGCAGGCAAGATCCACCAATGGATGCATTAGTGGATGAATGTTTGAGGAGAAACAAGATATTTGCACAGTCTTAAAGTATCTCTCTCAAGACATTTATTAATTACAAAGGGAAAAATACTAACAGTAGAATGGAGAAACCTGGCAGACATATGAACCAAGTGATGGAGGTTAACATCACCAGTAATAAGACATATCAGCATCATATACCCCTGCTATGATACACTGAGGACACAGTATAATGCCTGTAATATGTATTCTTGCCAAAAATGCATAACTTCAATCTAATCACAAGAAAACATCAAATAAACCCAGATTGAGGGAAATCTACAAAATACTAGTATTTTGTGAAAAGTACCAAGGTCATGAAAGACAAGACTTGAGTAACTATCATTGAGTGGAAGAGACTTTGGAGACATGACAAATGCAGCATGAAATTCTGGATTGGATCCTGGAATGCAAAAAGGCCATTAGTGGAAAAACTGGTGAAATCCAAATAAAGCCCGGATTTGGTTAATAGAATTGTACTTATGTTAATTTCTTGGCTTTGACAATTGTACTATGGTTATGTTACATGTTAACATTAGGGGAAGCTGAGTGAAAGGTGTATGGGAACTCCTTGTACTATTCGCAGCTTTTCTGTAAGTCTAAAGTTATTTCAAAATAAAAAGTTTTAAAAAATAAAAGTTATCTTTACATTATTGGGGGGATGTATAGAGCTATGGCTAAGAGAGTAGGCTTTGGGGTAAGATTATTTGGAGTCTAATCCTGGCTCTGTCACTTGTTAGCTATGTGACCTTGAGTGAGTTACTTAACCTCTCTTTGCACCTCAGTTTCATCATCTATAAAATGTAAGCATTAAGGAAGATAATAATGTAAAATGCATAGGTTAGTGCATGGTACATTGACAGTGTCGATAAAGAGTAAAATTAGAATGGATGTTTAAGATGAAACACTGGGCTCCTGTTTAGGCTCCATCTACTAGATCCCCTGGGTATTTGCTCTGATGAAAAATTTTGAGAAGCACCTCTCTAAATGGACAGAGTTATAGTTCTTAGCCCTCCTGGTTAACTGTTGAGGAGTCTTCCAACTTCTTGGAGGCCCCAATAAGAATTTAAAGCTTTTGGGAAAGCAGCTGCAGGGGCCATCCAGCTCAATGATATCTCCTTAATAAGCATTGTAGGTGTATCTATGTATGGCAAATTAGGTACTAGTGGTGTCTTTTATTCAAGGATTGTACATCTAGCGAGTGTTTAGTGTTATAGTTACGACTTGCTAATGGTATACTGGTTATTTTACACCAGGACTTCGGGATCTGGGAACGTGGAGACAAGACCAACCAAGGGATCTCAGAATTGAATGCCAGTTCAGTTGGAATGGCAAAGGTAATTTTCCTTTCTCATTTGTACCAAGTATGGGATAAGGAAGTCTGGTGCACTTTTGCCATAGATAAAAACTTAATGTGAATGTGGATCATTACGAAATTATTCTTTTAAACCACAGGCAAAATTCAGATTCTCCCATAGAACCATGGATATATAGATGAAAACTTCTGCAAGCTCCAAATCTGCTATCTAACTACCTTTATGGCATGTCTCTGCTTAAACTATATCCCACAAAGACTTCAAAGAACATATCTTAAACTAAACTCATCATCTCTATCATTGCAAAAACAAAAGGAGACTCTTACTCCTTGCATATACCAGTTGACCAAGCTTGATATCAGGGAACCATGTCTCAGTCCTCCATCCCCTTTATGCTTCTCCATCTGCCCTCCTACCACCATCATCATCATGATCATCATTACCTTTCCAATAAGCTCCATCTTTTGATCCTACCTGCTCTTATCTTATTTGGAAACAGCAATAAGGCATAAAATAGGATAGCAGAAATAGGATCAAACATGTCCATTATGATAAATATACATGATTTATTCTCTCCTACTAAAAGGCAAAGACACAGATTGATTTATAAAAGAAAAAAGTAAATCTAATATGTACTGCCTATAAGAGCTCTAATATAATAAAATGATACAGAAAGATTAGAAACAGAAGGATGGTCAAAGTAAAGTCTGACAAACATAAACGAAAAAGTGTGGAGATGACTATGTGAACGTCAGATGAAGTAGAATTCAAAACAAAGAGTATTACATGGAACAAAGGGGACAGAAAGGGTCACGATAGAATTTTAAAAGGCACAGTCTATCTCTTAGTTCGTTTTTGTGTCGCTATACCTAAGGCTGGGTATTTATAAAGAAAAAGGTTTATTTGGCTCACAGTTCTGAGGACTGTTAAGCATGGCATTAGCATCTGCTTCTGGTGAGGGGCTCATACCGCTTCTACTCATGGCAGGAGGCGAAGGGAGCTGGTGTATCACATGACAAGAAAGGGAAGAAGCAAGAGAGAGAAGGAAGGGAGGTGTCAGGCTCTTTTTAATAATCAGTTCTCAAGGAAACTCACTCACTACTGGGAGGACGGCACCAAGCCATTCATGAGGGTCCACTTCCATGACCCAAACACCTCCCACTAGGCCCCACCCCCAATATTGGGGATCAAATTTCAACATGAGATTTGGAGGGGACAAATATCTGAACTGTATCAGCCTATAATGAGAAGGTCTGGTCTAGAATGTAGTTTTAATTAATAAAGAACAAAATATATTAGAAATACAAGGTAAAATGAAATAATTATAAGGGAATAATTTCACAAAAAACATTGCCAGGCTGTGATACATGCAGTAAACCAAAAATAAGATCATAGAAAATTTGAATTATATAATTTATGCAATTGAATTAATAAATATATGAGGAACTTTGTACCTATAAAATATTTATCCCCTGGGTAAACTTTTTCTTTTTAATGTATTTTTAAATTGCCAAAGTGGTATAGATATGAGGTTTATTTTTTTAAATGAGATCCTACTATACCTACTTCTGTATAACAAGATTTTTGTCATTTAACAATCTCATATTTCACTAAAGAACATAACCAAATATTCCTCCATGTCATTTTATGCAGATAAATCTATTTCATTCTTTTCAGTTGCTGTATAGTATTTAATAATTGCTCTATTGATGGAGTTGTCTCCATTTTTTTACTATCCCAAATAATGCTTTAATGAGGATCCTTGTGCATACATATTGGTGAAGTTGCACAAATATTTTTGTAGGAAAGATTCCTAAAAGTGGAACCCTTGGGCTAAGGAATATACACTTTTTAAAATTGTCCTTAAAAAAATTTCCACTAGTTTATGTTTTCCTTATCCATATATGAGGGATATATGCCATTATATACCATATATGCCATTTTTCTCAAACCCTCACTAACTCTGGATATTATCAATATTTTTGGATATTTGACTTTAAAAATTTGTAATCATTAAAATTTTTTTTAACTTTTTATTTTGTAATCATTTAAGACTTAGAGAAAAGTTGCAAGAATTATGCAGAGTTCCCATATACCCTTCATCCAAGTTCCCCACTTGTTAACATTTGCTTTCTTTCTCTTTCTCTCTGTTTACACACAAACACACACACACACATATTATTTTTCTGACACACATACACACACACTATCATTTTTTCTGAACCAGTTGAAGGTACGTTGCAGACATCATGCCCCATTACTCCTAAATACTTCAGTGTGAATTTCCTGAAAAGCTCTTCCATAACCATGGCGCAATCATCAAAATCAGGAAATGAACACTGACATTATTCTACCACCTAATCAACATACCCCATTCAAATTTCTTTAATTGTTCCAATAATGTCATTTATGACCAAAAACATCCTAGTGATCCAGGATCCAATCCAAGAGAACATGTTACATTTAGTTGTAATGTCCTTTTAGGCTCCTTCAATCTGCAACAGTGCTTCAGTCTTTACTTATCTTTCATGACCATGGCATTTTTTAAGAGTACAGGCCAGTTATTTCATAGAATGTCCCTCAGTTTTTATTTGTGTGACATTTCCTCATGATTAAATTCAGGTTGTGCTTTTGGCAAGATTACCACAGAGATGATGCTGTGTCCTCAGCCACGTGCATCAGGAAGCACATGATATGAATTTGTCTCATTACTGTTGATGTTATCTTTTATCACTTCATTAAGGTGGCAGACCAGGTGTCTCCACTAAAAATTTGCTATTTTTCCCTTTGTAATTGCTATGGTTTAAATGTTTGTCCCCTCCAAAACTCATGTTGAAACTTAATCCCCAATGTGGCAGTATTATGTGGTTGGACCTTTTTTTTTTTTTTTTTTTTTTTTGAGACAGAGTCTCACTCTGTTGCCCGGGCTAGAGTGAGTGCCGTGGCATCAGCCTAGCTCACAGCAACCTCAAACTCCTGGGCTCAAGCAATCCTTCTGCCTCAGCCTCCTGAGTAGCTGGGACTACAGGCATGCGCCACCATGCCCGGCTAATTTTTTCTATATATAATATTTTTAGTTGTCCAGATCATTTCTTTCTATTTTTTAGTAGAGAGGGGGTCTCGCTCTTGCTCAGGCTGGTCTCGAACTCCTGACCTTGAGCGATCCGCCCGCCTCGGCCTCCCAGAGTGCTAGGATTACAGGCGTGAGCCACCGCGCCCGGCCATGTGGTTGGATCTTTAAGCCTTTAAGAGGTGACTGAGTCAGGAGGGCTCTGCCCTGTGAATTGATTAATACATTCATGGATTATTGGATTAATATGTTAATGGATTAATAAGTTATCATGGGAATGGGACTGGTGGCTTTATGAGAAAAGGAAGAGAGACCTGAGCTAACACGCTCAGCCCCCTCACCACGTGGTGCCCCACACTGCCTCAGGACTCTGCAGAGAGTCCCCACCAGCAAGAAGGCCCTCACTAGATACAGTCCCTCATTGTTGGACTTCTCAGCCTCCATAACTATAAGACATAAATTTCTTTTCTTTAATAAATTACCAGTTCCAGGTATTCTGTTATAAGCAACAGAAAATGGCTACAACAGAAAATTGGTACCAAGAAGTGGGGTGTTACTGATAACAAACACATGAAAATGTAGAAGCGGCTTTGGAACTGGGTAATGGGTAGAGGCTGGAAGAATGTGGAGGATTGGGCTAGAAAAAACTTAGATTCTGGTGAGGCTTTAGAACACAAGAGCACTAGGGAAAGTTTGGAACTCCTTAGAGATTGGTTAACTGGTCATGACCAGAATGCTGATAGAAATACGGACAGTAAAGGCCATCCTAATGAGGTTTCGGATAGAACCGAGGAACAAGGTATTGGAAACTAGAGTATGGTCATCCTTATTATAAATCGACAAAGAACTTGGCTGAACTGTGTCTATGCCCAAGGGCTTTGTGGAAGGCCAGACTTGAGAGTGATGAACTAGGGTGTCTGGCAGAAGAAATTTCTAAGCAAAATACAGAAGGAGCTGCGTGGTTACTTTTAGCTGTTTATGCTGAAATTCAGGAACAAAGGAATAATTTAAAGGCAGAATTTATAATTAAAAGGAAAGAAGACCAGAAAGATTTGAAAAAGTCTCAGCTTGGCCACATAAAGAGTGATAAAAGTGTGTTCTGGAGAGGAACCAAGGGGGTAGCGCAGCAACCATTTGCTAAAGAGATTAGCATGGATAAAAAAGAGCCAGGTGCTGTTCCTCAAGACAGTGGAAGAAAGGCCCCAGAGAGATTTCAGAAATCTTCAAGGCTGTCCCGCCCATCACAGGCCCAGAGGCCTAGGAGGGCAGAATGGTTTCAAGAGACAAGCCTGAAGTATTCTCCATGGGCTTGCTGCCCAGGACTGCTCCGGGACTTTGCTCCCTGCACTCCAGTGCAGCTGTTAGGCAGCCGCCCTAGCCATGGCTCAAGCAGCCACAGGTGTAGCTTGTGCCACCGTTCCAAAAGGTACAAGCCAACCTTGGAGGCATACATGCAGTGTTAATTCTGCAGGCCCACAGAATGCAAGAGGTATGGAAGCATGACAGCTTCCACCTAGATTTCAAAGGATTTATCAACAACTTGAGGGCCCAGGCAGAAACTTTCCCAGGGACAGAGCCGGAGATTCTTGAAAGTAGGTAACTTGTTTTGATTTCTCAAGCTCACAGATTAGGCTTTGGACTTTCGAGTTTTATTCTTGGTGCTGGAATGAGTTAAGACTTTGGGGCTATGGTGTTGGAATGAATGTATTTGTATGTGACAAGGACATGAGTTTGGGGGAAACAAGGGGTAGAATACTAAGACAGTAATTAATGAGTATTTTGTGCCTGACCAACTTCTACTTCAGCCCTATAGGTCTCAGTTTAGGTGTCATTTCTTTAGTGAAGCTTTCCAGAACTGCCTTCTACCCCCAAGACTAGGTCAGGTCTGCTTCATAATTGTGGAACTGTAGGTAATTAATAAATATTTGAAATAATATTCAACCTTGTTAGCAATTTAATGCAAGTAAATGCAACAGATACATCATTTTTTAATCAAATTAGGAAAAAATTTTGAGATAATATACATGCATTAAGGAAGGTACTGCTAGTGATAGTTATATTGGTACAACTTGCATGAAAAGCAATTTAGCATTTTGTCTTAAAAATTATTCATACCCTTTGGCCCAGTGATTCTACTTTAAGAAGTTAAAGCTTATGAAATAACTCCAAATGAAAACAAAGAATTATTTTGTTAGTTTAACAACATTTATTGAGAGCCTACTATGTGCCATGCTGTATGCCAGAAATTGGTGAAGACACATCCCTGACCTCAAGGAATTTATAATTTAGCAAAAGTCAAACTCATAGAAGTAGAAAGTACAATGATGGTTACCAGAGGCTGGTGGGTAGAGGAAGGGAGAGAATGGGGAGTTGTTTATCAAAGGGTACAAATTTCAGATAGGAGGAGTAAGTTTTGAGATCTGTTGCATAGCAGGGTGACTATAGTCAATAAAAATGTATTGGATATTTCAAAAAAAAACATAGAAACTCCTCCTTTGCCTTGGTGAGTAGTAACTTTCATCTTTAAGTCAAATATAACATTTTTCGAAGGCATTCAGTTCTCTATGGAAACTCAGCTATGTGCCAATACCTAATGGTTGTTGCATTAATATCTTATAGCCACACAACTTCTAGCATTTCTTATGTGCTGATATCTTATTTGGAATTCCTCTGCCAGGGGAATGATTTACCGTAAATTCATCTGTCGTGTTTTTTAAAGTGTGATGCTTGACTTGATAGTGCTAAACACCCCATCTTTGCTTTCACTAGGACAATGTGGAAGGCAAAGAAAAGCTCAGAGGTCCCTGAGAATAGAGAATGTTACTGTATTTTCTGTTTTATCAAACATATTCAAAAGTGACATCATGTACATTACTAAAATACTGGGGTATAGTAAGAAGAAATACATATCTTTCTAATGCAGAAGTTGTCCTTTTATTCTTTGCTCTTCATAGGCAGCCCTAGAAGCATTAGATGAACTGGACCTATTTGGTGTGAAAGGTGGGCCCCAATCAGTTATCCACGTTCTGGCTGATGAAGTGCAACACTGCCAGGTAAGGGATTATGGAAAATGGAAATAGCAAATTTTATTCTTGCTGAGACTCAGACTTAGCATGAGCTTTCGATTAAGGACAGCTGAATGAGAGTACATAATCTAATTTATTACCATGTGTCAAAACATGTCTTTATCAAGCATCCTATATTGAGATAAGCCTGATACAACATAGGATATAAAATAGATCAAAGTCCCATTCTCTCACACAAGGTTATAAAGGGATCCCACCATAGTATTTTAAATTATCCACTGCTGTCATATTAAGGGTCTCTCTTCCTGAGTATTTTCTTTTCTAAATATACAAAGTGAATAAGAGACAATAGATTTTGAGGGGTTTTGATAGTGGCTCTTAAACATTCTCTTGTTGCTGGTTGGCTCTAGGGTTAGATATTTGGAGATTAGGCTATTTAAGTCTTCAGTTTTGTTTAGGCTTACTCTCTGTATTGAAAGATTTAGGTTCTTCTCATTGGCATGAGGAATTTTCTCCTTTTCCTCAGACCCTGATTAGGTATCCATGGTGTCCTATTGAACATAAAATCACCTTCCAATTTTAAAAACACGAAATTTTCCGGGGCAAAATATATTTCAGAGATACAGGATCTGAGCCTTCCTTCCCTATCCTGCTTCTTAGCAGCTACATTTTCTCTTAACTTTATTCTTAAATAGTAGCTGGTGGAGCAATAGGACTGTGGGTAGGGTAATAGCTTTAGAATATTCTTTATCCATGAGCAGCTGGTTAAGAATCAGGATGGGGAAGCACTGAGAGCAGGATTAAGACAAAGGATGACTTACAGAAATAGCTAGTTTTCCAAATGCTCACTATTGAATAATGTTTAGGTTTTCTTCTGAATGATGCTCTTCCACATAAATCTTTTGAAACCAAAGCTGTTAGTTTTACATTGCCAAAGTATTTATTAATGTGCCACATTTAACTTCCTTTCTCTTAGTCTATCCTTAATTCACTACTGCCCCGTGCTTCAACATCCAAAGAGGTTGATGCTAGTCTACTTTCAGTGGTTTCCTTCCCAGCCTTTGCAGTAGAAGATAGCCAGTTGGTGGAGCTCACAAAACAGGAAATCATCACCAAGCTTCAGGTATGTCCATATGTGCCTTTCTTTTCTTTAAGGCTGTGACGTTAAAGAGAAATTAGTGCCTTCGAGGACCTCGTCTGTGATTTCAAAAAACCTTTAATTTTTCTGAGTTGTCCTTTTATAAGTAGTTTCTTTACAAGGCTGTTAAAGCTTCTACAGCCATTGCTGGTGGGAATGAAGGATGGTATATCCACTTAGGAAAAAAGTTTGACAGTTTCTTATAAATTTAAACACATACTCATCCTATGAGCCAACAATCTCACTCCTAAAAATCTATCCTACCTATGTGAAAACTTATGCACACAAAAAAATCTGTACCCAGATGTTTCTAGCAGCTTCATTCGTAACTTCCCAAAACTGGAAATAACCTTCAATAGAGGAAGGGATAAACAAATTACATTACATCCATACAGTGGAATACTAATCAACAATAAAAAGAAACAAGGTACCGATTTGATCCCACTTGACCATGGTATATAATGTTTTTGATGTGCTGTTGGATTTGATTTGCTGGCATTTTGTTGAGGATTTTTGCATTTATTAATACATTCATCAAGGATCTTGGTCTGTGGTTTCCTTTTCTTGTTGTGTGCTCATCTAATTTTGTTATCAAGGTAATGCTGGTCTTGTAGAATGAGTTTGGAAGAATTTCCTTCCCTTCAATGTATTGAAATAGTTTGAGAAGAATTGGTATTAGTTTTTCTTTTAAAGTTCGGTAGAATTCAGCAGTGAAGCCATCTGGTCCTGGAGTTTTCTTCATTGAGGGACTCTTTATTACTGATATAATATCATTATTTATTATTGGTCTGTTCAAGTTTTCTGTTTCTTCTTAGTTCAATCTTGGTAGGTTGTATGTGTCCAGGAGTTTATCCATTTTCTCTAGGTTTTCCAATTTGTTGGCATATAGTTGTCTCATAATTGTATTTTTTGTTTTATTTCATTGAATTCTTGAGCTCCAAGATTTCTGTATGTTTTTTTAATGATACCTCTCTTTGTTTAATTTCTTATTCGGATCATGAATTGTTTTCCTGATTTTATGGAATTGTTTATCTATACTCTTTTGTATCTTGCTGAACTTCCTTAAGATCATTATTTTGAATTTCTTTTCTGGCATTTCATACATTTCCTTGTCTTTGAGGTCTGTTACTAGGGAATTATTATGTTCCTTTAGGAGTGTCACGTTTCCTTGCTTTTTCATGTTTGTTGTCCCTGCATTGATATTTTGCACATCTGGTGGAACAGGCAACTCTTCCAATTTATGGAGTCGCTTTCATAGGGAAAGACTTTTTCCTGGAGATGGGTCCTAGGGTGTTGGTTTCTGTAAGTACATTGGCTTTGGTTCTGAGTGGACAATAGTGTAGTCCCTGTGCAGTTTCTTCGGCTGGAGTCCACATTAGTGACATTTGCGAGTGCCTCAGTGGCCTCGGTGTGAGAGTTCGTGGCTGCAGTAGTGCTGCTTTGCCAGTGGTAGGTGCAACAGGCTGGTTCTCAGGCCTGAGGCATGTGCTGCTGGGCTGTTTTTCCAGCCAGGGACACATGCATGCAGGTCAGCTGGCTCAGGGACTGGCTCACCAGGGGCAGGATGCTGGAACTATTTCTCTGGCTGGAAATGCAGGCCTAGGGGACTAGCTTGCCAGGAGCAGGTCCACTGGGCTGTTTCTTTGGCTGGGGAGCTCACCAGGGCTGGGTCCGTCAGCCTGTTTGTTTTGGCTGGCCCAGGGTTGGTTTCTCCACTGTGCAGAACCAGAATCATGGCCATTCCTGAGGCCAGGCCCCAAGCAGCCAAGGTCATGGCATTGCAGTCACCTGTGTGGGGTTGGTGAAATGATGACAAAACTCAAGGCTAGAGAGGCACAATGGCTGTTGGCCCCAGCAGTCATTTCAGTTTCAAGATGGTGCTGTGCTGTAGCAGCTTGGGCCATAAAGGATGGGGAATGCACAACAGGTGCTCCTACTGTGGAGTAATATAGCAACATGAATTCTAGGCAGTTGCCCAAACTGGGCTCAATGCTTATGAAGCCTGTGGGATTCTCTTGTAGTAAGGACTGCAGGTGTCTGTGGTGGCAATGGGGGATGCTAGAGACCTTCTGCTTACCTTTTCCCTGCAAGGGGAAGGCCCTCCTGGCTCCAAGCCAATCCCAATAGGGGAAACCGGGCAGCAGATACAGGGTAGCTTGCTCCCCTCTCCATGCTGCTATCCTGGGCTTCTGTGCTTCACAGGTATCTCATCAGTCCCTTGCTGCATCCCAGCACTCTCCTTCAGACACTCCAGCCAAGTTTTAATTGTTTCTTTGTTGTTTTGGTCCTTTTGTGTGGGAAAGACAAGTTCCAGACACCTCTAGTCAGCCATTTTGCTCAATAGATGATTCTTTATTTTTTAAAATTATTTTTAATTTTTTGTTGAGACAAGATCTCACTCTGTTGCCTGGGCTAGAGCACAGTGGTGGCATCATAGCTCACTGCAACCTCAAATTCTTGGGTTCAAGTGATCTTCCTGCCTTAGCCTCCTGAGTAGCTGAGACTACAGGTGTGCACCACCATATCTGGTTAATTGTTTTAAAATTATTTTTAATTTTTTGTTGAGACAAGATCTCACTCTGTTGCCTGGGCTAGAGCATAGTGGTGGCATCATAGCTCACTGCAACCTCAAATTCTTGGGTTCAAGTGATCTTCCTGCCTTAGCCTCCTGAATAGCTGAGACTACAGGTGTGCACCACCATATCTGGTTAATTGTTTTAAGATTTTTTTTTTTTTTTTTTGTAGAGACAAGTTCTTGCTATGTTGCTCAGGCTGGTCTCGAACTCCTGGGCTCAAGTGATCCTCCT